GTTGGTACGTGTTTTGTTGGTGATGTTACTGCATTGGTCAAACCTACTACTTAAGCCAATAAAGAATTGATTCAGAAGTAAATAATGAATTGTATAAAGAATTCTTCAAATATTCGAAAAAATAATAGGTATTATTAAGAAAATAAGCAACAATTACTTCTGCGATTTAACAATCGAAGAAGAAAGTATGCTATAAAAATATACGCGTATGGACTATAATTATTGCAATACAATGTTCACAGCTCATATCACATTATGATTTCTTAAAAGGGACATTAAAATTATTAACTTAAACGTCTTAAATAGCCCGTTTTATATGAAGACAATTAGTTTTAATTCACAATTCTCCGGAGTTGATTGGAGCGGTCGCATTCAGTACTAATTTTCAAGCAATTACAAAATAAACTTTAATAACCGTTCGCTGCGTTTTCTTTTTTAAATGTCAGGAACAAGTTTTTTTACAAAAGATTCACTGAATTTTATCTCTTCAGTTTAAAATTTTTGCACATTATTCTTTTTTATTTTATTAACATAAAAACAACTTGGATACCGACCGTGACATTAAAATGAAACGAAGTCGAGTATGCAGTGGTGGTTATATTAAAAAAAACACAATACTTTATTAGGCGTAGAATTTTTTGTGTGTATTAATTGTTACTTTTGATGAATACCTGCCATCAGAGTATGCTTCAATAATGCTCAAGAATTATTGAAAAGAGTTCCTTTTTACTTCGAGTACTTATAAGTAGTTTAGTTGCAAATTCACTATCACCATCAAGTGCGATCAGTTATTATTATCTTTATGAGGTTAAATTTTTACCTACTAGTCAAGAATAACTTAAATGTTGAAAATAACAGTTAGAGGAACAGGGTCAAAATAAGTATCATACTCAGGGTTGACGTCAAAAGAGATTCTATCCCAAATGAGAGATGCACCATATATGGAGAAAACCTGTAGGATGTTAGCTACTTCTTAATACTCATAATGAAAATGACAGTTTCAAAGGAGTCGAAGGGATATATTGTCTAAAAGAGATATGTACTCAGGGTTGACGCCAAAGGGGATGTAGGCTTCTTTTTAATACTGGACAATGTTGGAAGTGACTCTTTCTGAGGAGTTGAAGGTGCATTAGGGATTCAATGCCAAAAGAAAAATGGACTACATACAGACGAAGCCTGTAGGATGTAGGCTACCTTTTACTACTGCTAATTTTGGAATTGATTCTTTCAGAGATATTGAATGAGCATGGTGACAATGTTGGGAATAACAATTTCGAAGGAGTTGAAGGAGCATGGGGGGACTCAATTCCAAAAAGATGATGAACGACATAGAGACAGAGTCTTTAAGATGTAGGCTACTGACATCAGTACCTAATACTGATAATGTTGCAAATAACGTTCTCGGAGGAGTGAAAGGAACATAGTCAAAATGACGATTGCATTCAAAATTGATCCCAAAAAGGATTCAATCCCAAAGAAACGCATGACGAAACTTTTACGATATTGGCTACTTGTTCATGTTGATAAAATGAGCAGGATAAGGTCGAACGTTTGTTGTTCAATTATTCACAAAAATTTAGCTCATGCTTACACTCCTTTGAACTATTGCACATTTTTTTTAATATTATCCCTTCAATCATGACATATAACGTTGTCATCAAAGAGAGAGTTTAGGAAAAATTGGCAAACACCTTCTTTTTATTCGCCCTCTTGCCATTTCCAAATAAGACTTTAAAAATTTTGAAAAATCTTGGAGATAAGTTCTGATGAATATTTTCATTTCTTATGCTATTTTAGGTGTATTGTTTTAATTCTTGGGAAATTGATTCCAAAATGGTAAACGATGCGATTGTTGTGCGTCCCAAAGGATCTTGTTTTGTTTTTTATTCCTCACATTGCTTGCCATTTTTAAGCTTAATGGGCAAGATAAATGCATCGTTGTTAATTGAGTTTGATTTGCTCTCTCATCATCAAATGAAACGAATACGTACATTAATGTGCTCTTGTAGGTGTGTTGCTTCCGTTTTGTATCCATCAAATTATCGAGCGATGTTATGTAGTTAACTTACTTAATACCTGCCGGTTATAGAGTCACAACACATAATAATAACTGTTACGACGAGCCCGAGAGGTTATCGACAATTTATGGATTATCATTTGTTAAAGCGCACGACTATTTATTATCGATGAGCTTTTAATGTCAGACAGTTGTCACGCTGCTTTCACGTCTGTAAAATCGAATTCACGATCCATATATGGACCAACGCGCGATAGGTACTAACGATCAAAATCACTTTTGATCTCGATTTTTTAATAAACTTAAGAACAAGAACACATTTGAACTTGCAGCACAAAACCTCAATGTTTAATACCACTTCTTCAAAACGGTTTGATTAAACTCAAAATTAAACTGGAAGAATATTATTAGCATATAGGTAGTTCAAAATAAATTGAATTTTTTAAGAACGAAGGCTTTCACGGCCGGACTCCATAGTAGAATGAAGATTCGGGCTATAGGGCCTTGGTCTAAGTGAACTATTCCGTCCAGACGTTTCGTCAGCTACTGCAGCTGACATCCTCAGTGGTAGTGCAGCCTTGACAACGTGAACGTAGATTATATCTCGAAGGGGGTGTCTCTGTCAATATAATCTACGTTCACGTTGTCAGCGCAGCACTACCACTGAGGATGTCAGCCGCAGTAGCTGACGAAACGTCTGGACGGAATAGTTCACTTAGACCGCGGCCCTATAGCCCGAATCTTCATTCTACTATAAATTGAATTTTTGTTTTTTGTTTTGAACTTTTTATGTTTTTCTTTTATGATTTAATTAAAATATCCTCGGATTATGTTTGTAATTTACAGGAAATCCTTTTTTTACTTGTGCACAGTTCAAATTTAATAAATGAATTAAAGGTGCGCGATGCCTTTTCATCATATTGGAAGTACTTGATTAGACAAAAAAATATCGGTTTAAGGTTTTAAAAAAATATACTGATTTATATACATATAGATTATATATCTCTCATTGTCAGTCATTTTCTAAATACTACATGATGTAAGAAATTGCAAGCTACCATTTTTTATTATTATTATAGAAAGAACTTTATAATCAGGGCCGAAAATAGGGCTAGATTAAGACTAGGCTTTGGGATATAGGTACGGATGAGTCCAATTGGGCCGAGGCTCATGCAATGAAAGTTATGGTCCACCTTGAATGTTATCCCTATAATTACTTCCTAACGGGCATTGCTTAATGAAAAATTATGCGACGTTTGATGCAAGAATGTTTAATTCATTGTCCGAATGAATCTCTTGATAAGCATAATTGCTAGATTACTTAAGTAAGAAAATTTCCTGTCCTGACCGAAGAATCATATAGAATATTATGCGCACTATAGAGGAGGAAATAAACGCAACACGAAGAAAATGAAAAAATTTACCTAAATATTAAGCGATTTTTACAATTTGTCCCACTAGCTCGTTTCTTCGTAAGCGAAAATAATGATAATTGCAATTTAGACCCGAATTTGTAAAAATTGAAATAGTTGATATTACAAATTTAATTGTAATAATTAAGAAACTTGAAACAATTTTTAAATAAACATGTCAAAATTGAGATTATTACAAGTTACCTAATAAATTCTACTATTTCTACGGCAAATTCAGTTATTTACAATCGAGAATTGTAATTTTTGCGTTGTCATAAAAATTAATTTTTCTCCGTGAAGGTCTGAAACAGTTGACTTTTCCTACCTCGGTACCTAATGCACTAAGAGTATCACGATGTTTTAAAGTATTTTTGAAATTATATGTATAACTAGTTGTAGTTTTACATTGCCATGAGTTATATGGAATTTAAAGTATACAACGGTGTGACCCATCTTTGAACCATGCAAAATGCTGACTACTTCCTTGTTTTTCATATTAACGAAAATAACAAGATTAGTTTACTCCTTTTCCTTTCATCAGCTTCTTTACTTGTCTTCCTTAAGGAGCAGAAGATGCCACCCAAAGAGACAGACGAAACATTGGGTGAACACCATCCACTGACTTACCGAGTGAGCATATCTCATTCTGAATCATCAAACCTTTTTAGAGACAAACTTTTTGCAATTAGTCATTTATAAAAACACGGAAAATACATTTCTAACTATATCATACAAATTGGTTTTATACTTTAACCAATAAACCGAATGATTTGCTTTTGAACGACCGACGTCTTCTCGATAACGTAAACTATGTAACTGCTACATTCCAATCTTGTACGTTCCATCAATTTGATTGAGGTTAGAACGTACCCTGAATCTGCACTTATTAATTTATTCGGGTCTTATCTTTCTAATTACAAGGCTTTTACGTTTAATCGTCTTGTAGAGAAATGGATAATTAGTAGCCCAACTGGCTCCTGCCTTTTGCCTTTACAAGAATGTCTTTATTAGTTATTCTTGTTATGCTAATTATTTCTTTGGTTTCGTTCCTCCGATTCTTCAGATAACTTATGCCGTACTATTTATCTAGAAACCGGCGTTAAAGAGATACATGTGAAAGCGACTAATTAATGTCTGCTATTTTACCTACCACTGTCTACCACAAATGAGATATAATTGACTTAATTTATTATAGATTATTTCTGATTTATATGCGTCTGGCTAATGGATTTACTTCCAAATAAGGTATTTCTATTCATAAAATTCGGGAAAATATGCTATGCTCTATAAAGTGACTGTAAAATTGTACTGACTCTGTGATCTCTTTTGCACACTATACAGTGAAAATTGAAAAAAAATGCATTAAACTTAGCGAACTTATAATACAAACGAATGTTTGTTAAGTGTAAATGTCAAAATAGAAAAATCTATCGTGAAACATATGTGTTCAAGAATTGTTTAGATATTGCGTACAATTTTAGCTAACTGGGAAGATAGGTGGACTTTAAATTAATTTTAATTTTGTATATTGTATTGTAGTTTACGTTATTAATTTTTATACTCTTTTCCAGGGTTTTAGTTGGTGCTCCGGAAGCCCAGACGGCTCAACAGGGTGTTACGAAGGGTGGAGCCGTGTTTAGGTGTAGTATTCGAGCTGATGATACCTGCCAAGAGCTACCCTTTGACACAAAAGGTAAATCAAACATTAATTTTAAATATTAATCATCAGTACAAGTCGTCAGTCTTAAGACTGGTTGGACACGCACCTTTTCCTGTCTTGAGCTAATCTTTGCATTACTTAAAAACAATTAGAACATCCCACATTGTTAACTAAATTTATGAACAGCATATTGTAATGTAGGTCTTTCTCTGCCCTTCTACTTGTAATATGTTTCTTAGTAAGTCTTTATGTCTCAACGAGTATTTATCCTACCACCTTAACTTTTCTTTTCTTTAATGACTTCCATAACCCATAACCCCCGCCTTTGTTCTCTTTCTGTTCCCAGTACTTCTTCATTTCTTCTATCCACTATACTTTTATCATGCGCCTACAACACCACACCTCAATTGCTCAACGGTTTTTAAGCATGAAAGTGATTTATTTTTTCGAAAGCGAAAAGCACAGTCCGCATACTAAAGTAACGTGATTTAAAAAGGCATACTCCTTTATGTTAGTGGGTAGAGGAATATTGAATAGAATCCATCCACCGAACTGATGTATTTTTGTTCAAATCTACCCAATCTTGGTCTTTTCAAAGCTTTATGTCTCTATATACTGCTTGTTCCATTCTGAGTTATACTTCAAGATCCTAGATCTGTCATATATTACTTATTTTCTGTGTGACAAAATGGATGGGATTGAGCAGTGTTCACAACCTGAAGCGAGGAAACTATCGTACCTGTAGCTTAGAATTATCGTACATGGAGCAAAATTATCGTACTTTTCAAAATAATCACTATAATTAGTAAATTACTCGTATTTATCGTGTAAAAAGACAGACCTGAACTACCCCCACCCTTTAAATTAAAAATCAATAATCAATAATAGATAGAAAAATACTTAAATATAACAAGATATAGGGGGTGGAGGTATGTTAGTGGGGTGTTTTTGACCTTAGGCTATGGTTAGTGACTACATGACTACATGAGGGTAAGAATAAAATAAATTTTGAATGCATGAAAATTATCGTACAAACTGCGTACGATAATAATATGATATCGTACATCGTACGTAGACATGAAACTATCGTATGTGTACGATAATTATCGTACGGTTCCGAACACTGGGATAGAGTAATGTTAGTATGTATGTATCTACTAACTTGGACCGACGGCTAATTTGCAGATACCAGAAGCTAAAAGTACGCAAAAATGTTACTCATTTTTCTGAAAGTTTGCGTGCTGATTTTTAGATAATTTTTCATAGAATATTGTTAAAAATTAATAATTAACTTCCCGACCGCGGTATTTTCTGATAGACGCTTCAAAGTTGGCGAAAAAATTTGCTTGGGGAACTACTTTAATACTTTTTGTAAGCAGCTAAACCAACTGTAGGGGGTCAAACATACCCCAGACACTATTTAACTGTCGCTGTGTTAAAAAACAATCTAATTATTGCGCTCGCCCTTATACTCACAGCAAAATTTTAATTGTGTCTGGGGGATATTTGGCCCCTAAAATTGGACTGCTGCTTACAAAAAATATGGATATTGTTCTCTAAGTATCAGACTATAAGTAAAATCATCATTTTTTTTGCAAACTTTGAAACGTCTGGCAGAAATTACCATCGACGGGAAATGTCTGGCAGTGTTGATTATTCATTTTTAACAATATTCTGTGAAGCATTATGTAAAAATCCCCACTCAGATTTATAAAATCTTTATTAACACCTGATATCTGCAAATTGATCGTAAGTCCAAGTTAACAGGTATGCATATGTTCAAAGCTCATACTAACCCTACTCAGAAAATAAGTACCTAATGTCTGACGGTTCTAGGATCTTGCTCTATTATGTGACTTCATAAATATAAAAAATTGGAAACTTTTCATTTTGTCACAAATTAAGATTAAAAATTATGCTTTTGATCTATTGGAAATAAAACCAGAATAAAAAAAAGAATTCATTCTGATTTCGCATGAGAAATGTCATTGTTGCTATAAAGTTTTCCTTTGTTGGATTGAGGTCCCACATCAGTGCACCAAATGCACTAACATTATGTACTTTCCAATTAAAGTAAGTGGTTAGACAAAGTTTCATTTAGTAACGCATTTGTTAAGTCATCTCTATCTATATGCCTTTTCAAATGACTTGGTTCTTTTTTTTTTATATAGGTACATAATGTTTCTATTATCTTTCCTTCCCGGTACATTTGCGTGTCACATTCACATTGATCAATTATTTAGAGGTAACCATATGGTTCGGCGTGTTTAAGTGCAGACATCTCGTAAATCGTCGTCGTGCTGCGCGAGGTAATTTCCAGGTGACTATTTACATTAAACGCTAAAGCTTGCGCCTCGTGGTCATATCCTGGCCGTGGCCTGTTATTAACTGCATTAACTTCACTTTATGGCAGAGTCCTTCGCCTTTGATACGCGTCGCGAGGATGCCATCAGGCCGATATTAATGAGAAAGATGCCAGTCATTAATTTTGCACAAATGGACTAAATGGACCTCCGAACGTCACGACAAATAAGCAAGTGAGGACCGTGTTCGGATCTTTTGCTAAAAATAACTTACGAACATTTTCTTATTATTTTGTGCTAATTGCTAATCGGACAGTGGCGGAGGGTCAATTTTTGCCCTGCGGGACTAAGTCTAAATTTGCCGCCCTTTCTATAAGATAAGTCAGGACGAAAGGAGTAGTAGAGGATAGCGCAGGGGCGAGTCGCCTTCAATAAAAAGAAATCACTTCTGTGCTTGCGATTAATTTAGGAATGTTAAAGGTGTATGTTTGGAGCGCGGCGCTATACGGGTGCGAAACATGGACAGTGGGTGCGGCGGAAAAGAAAAGGTTAGAAGCCTTCGAAATGTGGTGTTTCAGGCGAATGATGAGGATACCGTGGATAGAGAAGGTTAGGAATGAAGAGGTATTAGAAAGAATAGGAGAACAGAAGACTCTACGGAAGTCAATACGAAATAGGCGAGATAGGTTATTAGGACACCTTCTCAGGCATGAAGGTCTAGTCAGAGACATATTAGAGGTAGAAACGGGAGTTAAGAGGAGTAAAGGTAGACCTAGATTAGGTTACTGTTCGCAAATTGTTAAGGATGTGGGTTGTTCTAGTTTTAAGGAAATACGAAGATTGGCTCAGGATAGGAAAAAGTGGAAGTGCGTGTCCAACCAGTCTTAGGATTGACGACTTTATGATGATGAGTCGCGATTGCAGTGAAAAGGAGTATCTGCACAAAACGTATACTTTTAATTGAGTTTTCGTGGAGATAAGTCGTGTTTACAATAATAAATAAGAAATCCATAAATTTACTTTTTCCGGTTTTTTTGTTTAAACAGAAAAGGGAATATTATGAATTTTTCTTTAGATCACATTGTTATTACTGCTCTTACTTCATCTCCATTGTTGACGTTCAAACTGCAAAATACGGTGAAAAGTACGATTTGAATTTTTCGTGTCTATTACAAAAACGTCCCTATGACTTCGAAGTTAATAAATTTCAGTAGTTGCTTTGTACGGAGTTCCAGTGGGTAACAGTGATTATTATTATACCATTACTTTCCCTAACTTCAGTTTTTTTATTGACGCTAGGTACCTAAGTTTTCTTTCAATATTTTTGCAATGTTTTACACTTTCATTAACTTACGATTCAGTATCATTTTGCTGATGATATTTGTGAGATTTAATATTATGTGGTTCAAAATGTAAATAGAATATAAAAAGTGTCTTGTTTATAATATAATAGGCGATGATTCCTGTTTCTGCTTTTTGCTCTTCCTGGGTCCCATGATCTCTTCGCCAACGAAATCGCGTACAGTCCAACTTTGGATAATACATATTTTATTTTGTGAACTTTATCTTCCTTTAATATTGCGTCAGTTAATGTTTACAGAGTAATAAAATAGCAACAGTATCCATAAGTACATAAGTAATATAAGAGACAAACTAGTTACACATTATCTCATAACGTACCTATAATGGTAATTGTAGTGTCATACATCGTTAGTTATTGCCTGGTTTAAATGAAATACTTTCTTTCACGTATCAAACTAGGAAAGTTTTGCTTGTTAGCAATTTCCTGCTGACAGTTAATTAACAATTACTGTTTGTAATATGCGATCTTACAAGACCACACATTACGTGAATGGAAATATTTACATTATACGCTTTTATGTCGTACTTATACTATACATGCAATACGGATCATCCCAGTGTTGAAAGCAAAAATAGTTTCAGTTGTTGAAATAGACGAAGACTAGGCGAATAAATAACTACATTTGACACGTGCTTAATTAATATGTCATTGATTTGAGCACAAATAATGATAACAAGTGCTAGGACTCTTTTCTGTAACAATGGTTTGACTACAAACATTAAACCGGCGAGTTTGTTGGTTTTAACCGCAAATGCTAAGATTCCTGAACTATATTTGACCGCAAATACTTGACTTGACCGCAAACACTGTAACTCATAAATTTTCTGAATTACTGCATTATTGGTTCTAACTATAAACACTAAAACTTTGAGTAGTGTTCATCACCGGTTTGACCGTAAAACCTGAGACCGCAAGTGTTACGAATTCTTCATTAATATATAGTTGGTTTAACCGCAAATGCTAGGAATCTTCGATTATTATTTTATTAGTAATTTCTTCATGAAACGCGAATTATACTTTATAGATCTCAATTGAGAAAAAGCCTTTTAGTAAGACTTATCTCAAATATTTCTCTAAAGATAATCAAATTAAGAGCGATTATATCCTATAATAAGTTTTATTTATTAACCCTTTTACCTATTTAGATAAAAATCGTTTATTGCCAACTATAAATAGTGGTATTTGAATTAACAGGGCATCAAATTCTTTTCGTTTAATCATAATGAACATACAAGTATGCATATATCGGAAGTGAAATATTAGTGCCCAACATACTTCCAAAAAGCACCTGCCAATTAAATTATAATTTATTATACATATGTATCTAAATGTGTTTTTCGTTATTATAAGAATATTCTTGTTTATTT